CAGCAGGACCATGATTGCAGATGGGGCAGTAGCTAGAACTGGCCTCACCAGTATTGACCCTTAACAACCAGGGTCAGGTTTTTTGAGACAACTGCTAGGCCGCAGGCACGTTTTTTGAAGACCTCCTTGGGGAAACATGCCAACCCAAGAAATAGATCTCTTCCCCACTTTTGGCTCACTGATCCCATTTCTACCATGCAGGGGGCCTAAATTACCTTAGACAATTGGGTCCTTCGCAATATCCTACTGTTAATTCCAGACCTGATCATGCAGCATCATGGTTGGCTCCAGCTCCCCAATCTTGAGTCTTTCTACCTCACAGCTTAGAAACTAGATGGCTGAATCCACTGCAGCTTCCTTGCTCAGACCCCGGTAGGAGGTGGTTCTTAGCCCCCATTGATGGTTTTCTATTGCCATTTATGTAGCCAAGTGGAAAAGATTCTCAATTTTGGTGTTTGTAGAGCCATACCTCTCCAATATAATCTCCAGTTCCCTTCTCTTGGACTCCAAAAATTAAAGCAGCAGGGTTTGTCACTTTTGTCAATAAAGGCTCACCTGGCTGCCTATCTTTTCACCCATGACAGTATGGCTGTTCCATCTTTAGTAGCTCAGTAGTGCAGCGTTTTCTTTAAAGGACTGGACAGGCTATCTCCTCCAATCTGGCCACTGATCCTGGATTTGGGACCATGATCTAGTACTTTCAAGGCTTATGGAGCATCTGTTGGAGTCCTTAGCAAGATGCTCATTGTTGTGTCATGGAAAGTAGCTTTCCTGGTTGCTATAACTTCAGCCAGAAGGTTTTCTGAGCTGAAGGCCCTCCCCATCCAACACTTATATACTGTCTTTTACAAAGATAAGCTGTAGCTTTGACCGCACACAGCATTCATTTCAAAAGTGATTTCAAATTTCCATACCAACCAAGACCCATTTCTTCCAGCTTTTACCCCAAAGCCTCACGCTAACATCTACAAGCAGAAGTTCTGCTCTCTGAATGTTCGCCAAGCATCGGCATTTTTTATTAAACGAACTAAGCTATTTTGCAAGTAGAACTAGCTGTTTGTCACAATAAAGGGCAAGCTGAAAGGCCTACCACTGTCATCCTAGATTATGTCCTGCATTCAGGTATGTTATGATCTGGCAAAATTTCTGCCCTCGTGCTGCTGGTGCATTTCACCAGAGCCCAGGCTTCTTCTGTGGCCTTTCTGGCCCAGGTCCCAGTTCAGGACACCTGTAAAGTGAAAACTTGGGGTAAAGTGATCAGCTGTTTGTCGGCTCAGCGCGGCAGCCATGTAAATTTAAATGAAGTGGCGATTATTTAAATCGCCGCTTCATTTTCCTATGCCTGGTAGCCTAATCTACATGCCTCTGGGGACAGAGGCATGTAGTCTAGATGTACCCTTGGTCCTCAGTCCACGCCTTCACTTCCCATTGTGATGTTTCCTAGCATACCAAGAACTATGCAGCATTTGGCAGAGCAGTGTTTCAATCAGTGGTTCCCTGATCTCTGACCCTGTCTCCCTAGGTCATGCCTGAGAATTTCCAACTTAGAATTGACATGAGCAAGCACTTGAAGAAAAAAATGGTTACTTACCTCTTCTGGCTGCTATTCTTCGTGATATAATGCTCATGTCCATTCCAAGACCTATCTGTTGGAGTAATCTGGTAAGAGAGACTGGAGGTTAGCAGCAGTGTTTCCTGTAAGCTCTGCATGTGAGCGGATGTTCAGGAAAGGTTCAAAGGCTAGCTGATTAGCAGCTGATAGGGTTTTTGTTTCTATTGGTGGTGTGCATTCACACATGCCTCAGTGCACAAATTTATTCCACACATGGATGGAAAGAATTAGAGGAAACGTTGGTTAGTGGGGTCCTATATGTGGTGTTATGAAGGTTTGTCTCCAGGGAATGCCTGGGTAACTGCATGCAGCATGCACACACCTACTTGGAATGGATATATGCAAAACATCTTGAAGAACAACAGCTACAAGAGGTAAGTAACCATTTTTTACTTGAATAAGACTTAGCATATTACATATTTTGTAATCGTGAGTTTAAGGTTGTTGGGTTTTTGTTTCCCCCCAGCTCCAGAAATCTTAAACTATGATCCTATTACTACAGCTACAGATATGTGGTAAGCGTATTTCTTCTAAAGATAATACCCTTGCATACTTCCCCTAACACATCCTTTACTTTTCAGTCACTTCATATGGCAGGAACACTTTGGCCAAAATGTTAATATCCACTCTCTCTTTTTAAAATTTAAAGCCTTGTATATTTGTTGCATTTAAAAGTTAAGCTGCAGAAACAATATGAACCTTGTAGCAATATGTAGAATAGCGCACATGTGATGCGGCACAGCAGCTCATCTTATGTAGTACTCCCTGCATTGATTGTTCTGGTCTTGTGATGCCTGTCTCATGATTTGGCCCTCTGGTCAGGTCATAATTTAGGTCCACTCCTTCCAAGGGTACTGAGAGTCCAATAAATAAAAATCTAGTGTGGTATCAAAAGGTTTTCAGTCCCAACATTGCACCTCATGGTCACCACACCCTTCTGGTTGTCCTTATCTCCCTTTTAGATTCATTGGAGCACTTTCTATTGTGTTTGATACTGGAACCCTTCCCTCTGCTCTGGCTTTCACCGTGGGAACCCTTTAGTTGCAAGTATAGCTGTGTCTGTATTCAAACCTACCTCACTTCTCTGAATCTGTCAACAGCTCTCCACAGCCTCCTTAATCTCACCCTTCTTGCAAGGTTCTGCTCTGGAATCCCCCAGTAAATTTCAATGTAAAGCCATAAACTAAAAAACTATTCCTGCCCTCTTGTTTGATCTTTCCTCTCTCTGTTTTACGCTTTCCCTTGCTTTGTTCAACAGCTGAATATCTCGAAGGGTGCTCTTCCTGGAAGTCCAGATAGTATCTTTTCTCGAGTCTTCCCATTAGAGCAGGGATGGGGGAACTTTTTTTGGGTCAGGGGCAATTGACCTACATTAAAATCAGTCTGGGGCCGCACACAAGAAAGAAGCAAAAACAAACAAACCAACCCTCACTGATATAGCCCCTGTCTGAGAAGGAGAAAAACATTTCCCACATTCCCCTTGTACACCAGAGGGGCCCAGGCTAGTAGATTTTGCATGCTCCAGCCCAGTGGGGAGGTGGCAGGGGGTCTGGAGTGCCGGGGGAAAGCCCTGAGCCTTGGGTGCTGCATCCAGGCAAGCCAGGGGCCACATCTGGCCCCCCGGTGTTAGGTTCCTCATCCCTGCACTAAAGCCTTCTCCACTTAAATTGCTAGTTGTATCTTCCCAGACTTCTCTACTTGGGAGAGGATCCTAGGGCTAACCATCTCCTGGACTTTCTCATTGCAGCCTCTCTCACTCCAAAAGAGTGATAGCACAGTTCCTCACAGTCTTCCTACAGCCTCTTTCTGCTGCAAACTTTTGATTACAGTTCTCTCCAAGTATTTCTGCAGGTGGGCTTCATCTGTTAAGTCTGACTGACCTGGCAAGTGGTCTTTCAGCAGTAAATTAATTTTTAAATTGCTCATCAGACACTGAAACTAATATCTAACAATCTTGTATCATATAAAATATTACTGCTAAAAAAAGGATTAATAGTGGCATGAACACAGGGAATCAAAAAGACATTAATCTCTCAAATCAGGCTTATGTCTAAACATGTGACCTGATTTTTGAAACAAGAATAGTGCGCATCAATGTGTACTGAA